CTGCGACTCACTTTCACCTCGCACTCGTCACATGTTATGCAGATGTTGCATAAAGAAGAGGCATTGAAAAGAAAAAGATAGACAGGCAGAGAAGGTCCATGGCCAGTACTCTCAGGTGCAGACCTCCATTAAGAGAAAAGTGCAGGTACGTATCTTCACCTCTTCAAATTCCATTTGTAGATCCATCCAATCAGACCATCTCACCATGTCATAGCCACGTCTCAAGGCTCTCAGGCTCTGAGAGGCCTCTCATTTCAAAGCATAGCCAGGCACTGCCATTATACTCAGCTGTTAGGACTTTTCTTTTTAACCATTATCAACAGTGGACGGAAAAAACACAACGTTTATATATATAAAGAACACAGAACTGCAAAAGAGTCTTAAAAAAAAACTCAATACAAGAAAAGTTACATTTGCCGGAGGTCTGTGGTTTGGTTGTTGGGCAAAAACACAGATTATATGTTTGCGAATTAACCTGCTTCCCAGTAATGACAGTGCGGCCATCTAGTGGCCAAACTTTAATACCGTCGCAAAATCCAGGAAATTGATGTCATTGAGATATGAAGGGAAAAAGTCTCTCGCAAAAATAGACGAGGAATTCAGCAGTGCCCTTTAGAACAATGACACATTTCATCAGACAGTACAATGTAGCATCAGTCCTCTGGCTGCATCTGCTGCTCCAAAAGTAGGTCACACGAACTCTTCTGATAATTTGTGAACAATTTCGATCTTTACTTTTGAACAAAACGGGGTGTATTTACATATTTTCTGGGCATTTAGAACCCTTGTTATTAGTATATTACATTGAACCACCAGGTTAAAAGAAACGTCTCTACTGTTTACCCAGGTTTGTAAATGTTGGCCAAATCAAAACAAAACAAAACAAAAGGGTTTGTAAATGTTGTTTAACTCCGGCCAAATCAAAACAAAACAAAACAAAACAAAACAAAACAAAACAAAACAAAACAAAACAACTATCATAAGTGACGTTTAACCCATTTTGTGTTGTTTTCTGAGGGAAAAGTCAATGAAAATTATACGTTAAATAATACTTAGAGTACAAGAAAACTATGGCTGTTGATCTGTAGAGGGCGCTTAGGGGCAATTCAAAATTAACGTGCTGACAGAAAAAACATTACTTGAAAGAAACGAGTGAGTGGCAAAGCACGATAACAATTGGTTATACACAAGAGCAGTATAAATCAACTTCCTGTTTGTCAGGCATCAGCCAATTAAAGGCAACAATAGTCAGGTGAGCTAAGGGTGATTCTTTATTGGTGCGTGGAAGTCCCTCCGTGTTTGGCGTCCTTAATAAGTTTCTTACAATTTTCGTGTTTTGTTTAGTTTTTTGAAAAACTCAACATTGAACAGTTTAACAGTTTACAGGCTACGTAACGGTCGTTTCACTTTATCCTAACCCAATAGTTGTACTGTCAGAGGGAAAGAAGAACATCATGGAAGACGTTACACCGCGCTGTTGAGGAGTTAAGAAAAAGGAGCTACTCATTACAGGACTTGGTGAAGTGATTGTGGGGGTAAGTCAAGTCCTCTTTTATTTTGTGTGTCTAAAACGTTGTGGACAACGACCTGTGTACGGGACTTCAAACACCTGTGCTTCGTACTGAGTTACAGTCCGTGATACGAGTCTGGCTGCTGCTTAACACTGAGGACTCCGTTCACTGTCATTGTACCGGTCAGTGTATACAAGTATTACTGTGATAGGGCAGTAAACAAGGTACTGTTCTATGCACATGCTGTGGTAGTAGCGTTGCTGATGATTATGATTATTTTTGTGGTTGTTTTAATTGAATTATTATTGTTGTTAGCAGTAGGGCTGACATGTTTTTTTATGTAAGGCAAACAACAACAAACTGCTGTGGAATTTTGAAGGACAATCTGGGGTGGTCCTTTCAGATCAGTGCTCCCTAATCTTTGGTATGGATGCAGATGATGGTGTTTTAGGTGTTGTTTGTAATCTGATTTCCATTCCATAAATTATGCCATCAATGTAAATCAAAGTTCAGTGTAAATTAAAGCAATTAAACCAATCCATGTGCTACATAATTATATACTTTAGTTTTAGTCTTGTTAGGAGTTTGTAAGTAATTACCTTGTTCATAAAATCAGTAGAGTAAACATAGTAAACAAACATTAGTGAATGTCTCTGACCATGTCAGATGTAATGTATTGTAAAAAATGACTTCTTCAGAAAAATTTCAACAAATTAGAGACATACACTTGATTCTTATGATTTATTGACATTTATTTTTTTTTCACCATTGTTTCTCTTGATACCAATAGTATTTACCATAAAGTTTCTTTTTCATTTAAATTACATTTATAATGTTTTACTCACATACACATTTATCATTTTATTTTCTTATTGCAATAAACAAGAGTAGCCAGAATGAGTCAGGTATTGCTACAATTCGCGATACAAACTATTTGTCCCCTGTGACAATGAAATTCAAAAATAACTTTATTGGCAAGACAGAATTACTCAACCACCTCTTCGTATCTCTCTTTCTTCTCATTTTCGTCTGTTGGAGAGGCGGAGGGCAAAATAAGGCTAAGGCCTACGGTAGCTTACACACCTTACCAGAAAAAAAGGAAGTTATCTCTTTTTTAAAAATTAAAATAATAACAATGAATCAGTATGAACTAACACCACGTGAAAATGTTACAGAGATTATGATCAAATCTCACGGGGCCCACAAGCCTTTTCACTTGGCCAAATGTACACCAACAACATGCCTTTAGTGGCCCACATCTGGTATGCAGTGGCCCACATCCTGTATCTAGATTTTGGGCTGCATTATTTCGTCTGAAGCCATGTAGGCCCAAACATTGTTTCAGTTTTGATTGAAGTGTTTTGTCAAAAAACCCCATGATTAATTGCTATCCTGTTGGTCGATCATGTAACCTGTTTGGTTGTGTGATCTGTGAAACATTTAGCTATTTTTCAAATAGGTTTGATCATTTATTTAAAAAAAAAATTATTGGGCAATTATTTAATCAACTTATTGTTTGAGGCCACATTATCTTCCGTCCTGCATCTGTCTCTGATAGGTGGAAATTTGAAAGAGCGCTGGTCCCTATTCTCACACATGCCCACACACACACACACACAACTACACATGATTTACACACCGACAGGAGTAAAAGCACTGATTCCAGGATTTATACCTCACGTACCAAATTAACTCTAAAAAGGATATTTCCTCAAGAAACAGAAAATGCACAATGGTGGAAAACACGTCAGCTTGTTCATTAGGTCATGGGGTGACTAATGTTCATCATGGTTTAAACTTTAACACATTTCACACACGGGAAAAAAATGCAAGTCAGGAACTTGAACTCAAAGAAAACTGCTGAACACATCTATCTTTAATCCACTGATACCTGGCATTGTACCCTGTTCCCCAGGCAGAGATTACCATAGTAAAAAGGCCCTTTAATATGAAGGGCCGGGGCCCAGCTGTGTGTCCATCTCTCTCTGTCCCTCGCTCAGTCTCTTTGAGGGTTTTTTCACTCCTCATGGAAGAACAGAAAAGTCTGTCAGCTGGCATGATCCCATTTTGCACATAACTCCACACGACGTGACACATTGAAAACAAGTCACTCAGATAAAAACTGCTCATTGCATTGCAATATTGAAAGAAAAAGTAAGACATTTGAGCTCATTGCTTCTCAGTGAAAGGGCACAGTGTACAATTGGTTTGGAAAATGATGTTTGTAAGCTTTAAGCCACTGAGCAAGACACAAGTTCTGCTGCTGCTCTACTTAGCCTAGCTTAGCTTAGTTTAGCTTAGCTCTGGCTCCCTGCTGAGTCAGGTTTTAACATCATCTCAATTAATCCTCAAACCACTAAATCAACCCTATTTCTGCCTGTCCCTTCATGGGCACAATATTAACATTTTCTACCTACAAAAATATTTTTTAATTATACTTTTTTTATTTTTATTTTTTCATGTGATATAAACACAAACAGTCCAAACCAAACAAAACAAAGTGCTCACCAGTCTTTGTAAAAGAAAACAAATCATGGTGCATTTCATGGCTTTCAGTTATAAGACAGGAATTATTGAGAGATGCTTAGGTTCCATCTTTAGGCTTAGGGCATGGTTGAAACGCCGAGTAATTTCTCCCAGAATGTATTTGGCTTGGCTCCAACAGTCCCTTCTTTAATTTGTTTTCTTTCAGCACATGTATAGCTAACTACGATTGAACCACTACAGTTTATCCATATTAACCTTCAGGGATAGAGGAGGTCAAGAGGAAAGGGCAGGGGTTCAGTAAAGGTTGGTGTAGTAATCCAGAACTCTGGCCCTGCAGGGCCTTCATCCTGGGCTGCATGCAGAAACAGCATCAACACCCCAGTACACTGGTTACTCAAACCTCATTATGTAAATAAAACTGTGACAGGAAGACCAGGGTGATGATAAGGGTGTCAATATTTTTATGTATGACACGTATGCTTTCTTTTTTGTATATCACTTGGGAGAGAATGGTAGTGAACAGCCTTGTTTGCTCTTGACAGTAAGTAGCATCAGGTGGTGTGTTCTATTCTGGTGTCAGATAACATAGACACGAAGGCCAGTCTGTATTTACGTGTAAAACAAATGAAACTCCAGTGAATACAACTGGAAGTTAAATTCCTGAATAATCAATCGTTGTTTCTAGCTTGTCAACTCAAAGAGCCTGAAACTAACAGAAGAGGTGTGTTGCAACCTGCTAATGAGAGTCGGATGTAAATCTTTAAATGTTTATCAATTTCTCCCTCCAGCTTTTGTTTGGTACAAGGACATTTATGTTTTTTTTCTGTAGCTAAGTCCAGCTGTGCATGTAAACCTAGTGGGTGTTCAGAAACACAGCAGTACGGTGTGTACCAGTGTGTGACTGCTGCTGTTCCTCCTGTCATCTCTCCTTTTTGTGACGTATATGAAGTTTGACAATTGTGTCCTGGAGTTACATTTGGTAGCACGCTCTATTTTAAAACAAATTCATTCAGGCCTGTGTGTTTGCATGCTGCCGGAGGTCTGACCATCCACTGACCCATGTCAGCCCGTCCTTCACCGCACAAACACTTTTCTGCCCTCCCCCTCCCAACCAAACACGTTTCACACGTGGCTACAGCCTGCTGGTTAGCCCACGTCATGCTGTGTCTAAGGAGGACCTAGTGTCACGAAGTGAAAAGTTGCCGTCCTCTGCTGCAGAAGGGGACATAAGAGGCCGCACAGCTACATGTGATGCGTACAGCAAAGACAGATGGAAGCAGCTTCCCTACTGACACAACATCATTGTCTTAATTTATTATTTATTTTTGAGGTGCATAGGATGTGGAGAACACACTGAGCCGTTATGACAAAAATCACACCTGGCCCAGAATAATGACGTAACTCTACATGTGGTTAACTCGTTGTAGGAAGGTCTGTACGTGTGTCTTCTGTAGCTATCCAGACAGCCAGGGCCACAGAGCAGGACGGGGAGACCAAGGAAAGTGAGAGGGTGTATGGGGAAGGTAAATGCATAATAAATGTCGTTCCTCTGCTCATTCCAGTCGTAGATCAATCAAAAGTTGCCAAAAAGAAGGGAGAGACTGAAGTAAAGGGTAAAAGACAAACATATACTTCTCCTTCCTGCTTCTCCTTTTAAATTCCTCTCCTCTCAGTTTGATATTTTTTGTTAATGATTGGATTTATTTCTCCCTATCGTTTTCCCATTGATTTATTATGTTTGTATCTTCACAGTGTGCTTTTGGAGTGGCTGTTCCTAACTGGCTCGAAGTCAGTAGGTGATGTGTCAGTAGGGAGAGAACAGGATTGGCCCATGGGTGGTGCGAATGGGGCCTGGGGCGGGTCGTAGGATGGCGTGGCTTAGTGGAGGACCTTGCAAGAGGTGGTGGTGTGGGTGATGCCCAGGAGCTGCTGCTGCACGTAGAGCTAACTGGTTCGAGGAAGCTGCGGCTGCCATCGCTGCAGCAACAGCCAAGGGGCTGGGCAAGAGCCCAGCCCCCAAAGCTTTGGTGAGATCCTTGGAGAAGGTCAGAGATGACTAGAAACAGGAGAGGGTGAGGCACAGACAAGAGGGAAAGAAGAAAACCATAAAAATATATTAGATCCAGATTGTCTTAAAGACAGAGGAACAGATATAGATCTTTTTTATAGCTTCTTTTGATCTGCCATAATGGGGAGCCAAAAACAGAACAATTGGCATTAGAACGGATCAGATCTGCATGCTCAGAACACAAGAAGCCCAACAAGACCAGTCAGCCTTGTCAGGATTTATTTGTTTTATCAATCAATCTCATTTTGTGTTTACTAGTTCATAAGAGAAAAGAAGAAATGAGGTTGAGAGGTTACCGTCAAATCCGCTCCCCTGTGCTTCTTGTGTCGACTGAGGAGTGGGTTAGGTTTGCCTGCCATGCCGTCCCGGTGCCTTCGACTTGATATGTGCTAAAGATACAACATAGATAGAAGTGAGATTGAGTGTCAGGTCTAGATAAAGATGGTCACTGAAACACAGAATCAGACCTAAAAGTGCTCCTGAAAAAGGACCCTAATTGGAGTGAATAAAAATGATCTAGTTACAGGAGTTATTCTTGTCTTTTCTTCTCTAATGTCTGCTGCCAAACACACGGCATTACTTTTCCTGACACAACTGAGCCACATTTCTTCTTCCATGTCTCGGTTGAAACCACCTGTATTTGTCATGAACTTTCGTTTTGGCTTAAAACAGGAAAATATAATTTTAAAAATCACACAATAAGCTCTAAGGCTTGTGAATAATTATTTAAAATATAGTGTATTTACAACTATTTGATTCATGTTATCATTTACTGCTCCTTTAAATAAGAAATGAAAATGTTTTAATGGCTGTGTGTTTTCCTTGGATGGTAAAGGCATCACTGTCGTCCTTTTGCATTCTTGCAATTCTTGCAAATTGGAAACTTTTAATCTCACCTGCTTTAGTTGAAGTTCAGAGTTGACCCGTACGTTGCAGATCTCACAGTGGAAGGTTCTTTCCTGAGTGTTGGGGTCCACTGGGCCACCTCCCTGCTCTCCACTTGGTTTAGGGCCTAAGCGAGGATATGCTTTAATGGGGCCCAGCCCACTGCGAGCCTCTAGAATAGTTTTGTGTTTGGTACCTGACAGATATGGACAAATAGACAGCAAAGTTATTCATCAGGATGAAATGTAATGTAGTATCATTTACAATTATCTCAGTCTGGAAAGTGCTTGGTGCACTAATAGAAAATAATAAACTGCAGTGTCACTTTGGTACCACAAGAGGGCAGCAGTAGAACAGCCGTTCAAAATCCGGATCTGTTGGATGAACCTGGAGCCCTCTCTGGTGTTAATATAGTAATAATGAAGGATTGATGATGTTATCATTCAGTGTGGAGGTTGAAGAAATGTCACAGTTTATCCTCAGTGGTGAAATTCATTCACCACATGTGACCTTATCAATACAAGAGCTGGACCACAGCTTTGTCACTTCTGAAAAGAAATAGTTCTGACCGTAAATGTCAATGAGTGGAGAGTTAAGGGGAGGTCATTATGAAAAGCAGATGTGTACTGGGCTCAGACCTTACAGTAAAAACCACAGTGGGGTTTAATCGTTGTGAAATTTGCCTTTTCCCCCACTTAATATTTATTACTTCATCTTTAACCTTGTGCACAAATAAAAGCATCCATAAAATCAACACTTTGTTGTTGTAAAGGCATTCTTTCACAACCAAATACAATCTGACCTTTGTGATTATCCAATAGAAACTCTAGCAAAACAAAATGAAAAAAAAAATTTAATATTATTTTTAGATGTGCTCATTGAGGGCATGTGAAGAAGGTGATGGGCTACTGATGGTGCATGATGCTGTTTTTTTTTATGGTCTGACTACTCTTGTCTGCGTTTGCCATCGTCTTAATCCAATTACACTTCTGGAAAAAATAAATCATAAATAGAGAGACATTTCGACACACATCTGTCCTGTCAGATGTTGGCAGCAAATGGTGTCCACGTGAAGCAGAGGAATGTGAAATGGAATTCTGAGATTCTGAGTTTGTGTGGATGAGTCATTTATATACAGTACGTTCTTCAGGTCCTTCGTTAGTTTAATTGGTTATATCTTTCAAAAAAAAGGTCAGAGAAAGAGGAAAAAATGCCAGTGTTTTCTTTTCTTCATGTGGTCTGTAAAGCCACACATCACAGTCTGCCAGAGAAAGACTCTCATTAAATAATCACACGTTTTGTTCCTGGCTGAAAGAACGGCTCTGCCTCTGTGCTTTGGAAGTACAGTATCTCCCCCGTCTGACTTTGAATTTGAGTCACATTTTTAGAATCCCCTTTGAAGAGAGTTAAGGTTACAGAGGAGAGCGGAGTCGCCGGGGTCTGGTGATTTGGGAGGAACACAACGACTGTGGGTCCTGCTGGGAAGGAAGAGGCAGGAACTACAGGGTTTCTGTTCTATTTTTGTCTGACAAAGCTTTCCTCGGTGGACTTCTTTGTCATTGTAAGGATTTTTAAGGTGTAGGGGAAAAAAAAAGCAAAGCCAATGAGTAACACATAAAATAAATGAGGGACATTTGCAAAACTGCGAACACAACCCAGGTAGACATGGAAGTGTTGCATAAATATTTAGAAACATTTCAAAGGTTACGTCATCCTTCTGTTTTAGTCCTTTCTGCTGTTCATTCTGTGCCACGCACACGGCTCACGGCCTGTCTGTCTGCACGGCATGTGCTCTCAGTTTTGAAGCCCTGCTAATATTCACCGTATTGAATTTTGACTGATTGCTTCCAGAACGTTTCAGACATGGAGTTTCAATCCTTACTAATCCAGGCCTGGAACTTTGGAGCCAATTAGCTGCCACACGGCTGCGATCATGTTTAGAAGCTGTGATCTCTGGTTGTACTGCATGTGTACGTACACAGTAAATGTGCTGGAGGGCAGATGTAGAACAAATTTATTGTTGTGTGGTTGTTGTCGTAAAATGTTAAAGAATTAATCAGAGCGAGAAAAAGGGTGAAAACTAAAAGGCATCTGCGAATTAGTCTGACCGCTTTTATTGATTAATACTTCGTCCAACAGCAGGATGTATCTATTAGCTGCCGTCTTAATTCTTCAAGGCAAATGGGATAGAGTTTCACTGACGTGGAACCTGTTCTTTGTTGTCCATTGTCCCAGGCAGAGTAGACTTTAACACTAGAGGGAGAAGCAAATAGAACCTGCCCTTGCAGTGGGAAAAAGGTCACACACTGTGGTAAACTGCTGGTTAGTGAAGAATTAAAGCAGTCAAAGTGAACTCTGAGAGTTTCAAGGCCTGAGAAAACGTTCCCTGAAGCTGATTTTTGTGGTGAATTCAACCACATTGTGGTTCATTTTTTCTGTTGTTTTCCTGCAGAGTCCTCACACCACAACAAAATGAGCTCTTATGATGTCAATAAGCAGATAAATCACAGAGACGGAACGTTTTCTTTTCAGCAGTAGTGTGTTTCATACGTTGGTTTGTATTTGTACTGCAGTGTGAGAGCAGGTGAGGCACCTTGACAGAGCTCCTGAAAGCAGGAGATTAGGGCTCTGTTACACTGTCATTGTCAAACAGATCAGTTATCTGCTGATCAGTGTTTCTCAACACCAGCTGCTGGGCTGCAGTGAACTTGAAACACTTAGTCAGGACATTCTCTTGATCGATTTTCATGGACCCAGACAGACGGGCCTTTGCATGCGTTTGTAAGTAGCAGTTTCTTTGCCCAAAATGTCTTTAAATATCCTAAAATACAGCCCACGTTAATGTTAGAGTAACATTTAAACTAATGGAAAAACTTCTAGCTTGTAGCGTGTCTAAAAATCTAAAAACCTAAATGTCCAATAATAGAAGTGCAATGTAAATAACCCATAATGTTAATGAATGAATGATCAAGTAATATTTCATATGTTAATGTGACTCACTTTAACCAAACCATAACGTTTTTAAAATCCCAGATGTTCTTGTTAGACACGATTAATGTCCTGTTTGTTGACATCATACGCACATTTTACTGCTCTCAAACCTTTGAAAAATGATCTTTAATTCAATTTCACCAAATGACGAAATCATATTGAGAGATTCTTGGGACTTTCCTGGCAGCGCACCTCCCTGACACACAGGTCGGAAATTGTTTCCAGTAATAATAACAGCAGTGTTTTAGGAGTGTTTCCAATCACAACTGAATGGGTTATGTAACCCAGTCGAGGTACCAGGGAGAAAGACAGTCCTGCTAGCGTGATTGGCTACTTTAGACCTCACTCACCTTTGTTGTGGGCCTCCAGCTGGGACAGGGAATTGACTGCCACCTTGCAGAGTGAGCAGTACAGCAGCTTTTTGGCCTTGTCTTCCTCTGTCTCTGGGTTGGTAGGGCTGCTGGAGGCCGAGGTGCCGGTGGCTCCCGGTCCAGATCCGGTCTGTTCTGTGTTGATGCTAGCGCTACCACTGCCACAGCCCGGGGAGGTGGAAGTAGGGTGGACCAAGGGTGGAGTCGGGTTGGTCAGGATGGAGCAAACTGATGGTACGGGGGAGTCCATGGGTGGAGTAGGTGGAGTAGTAAGTGTGGGAAGGGGCCCTGTGGTGAGCAGGAGTCCATTTAACTGTGTGGGAGGCTGTGGTTCATCTGATGAAGGAGGAAAATGGGGAAACATTAAAAGAAAACAAAAAAATCTTACCACCACAATTTTACAGTCTGATAAAAGACTTTTACTACACTGGCTTCCTTGTCTTTAAATCTTTTAGTCAACTATGATCCGCTCAGAAAACCCAACATTCAACCACATTGTTAAAAAGCTTCAATTGATTCTTTTAGATCAGACGAGTCAGAACAGAGAACTAGCAATCCAGTGGTTTCTAATTCTGTCTATTATTGGTTAAAAATAGCTCATTTAAATTAAATGCAAAGTGGGTTTGGTTAGAACATGTTGAGGGCATGTGTTTGACATGATGTGACCTCATGATGTTAAGAAATCAGAACCAAAAACCTCGGTTCATGGTTCTACACCTGTTGTTATGAAGAAATCAGAACCAAAAACCTCAGACGGTTCATGGTTCTACACCTGTTGTTATTGGCCCAGGTTGAAGAAAAATTACTTTCAACATCAGGTCAACAGTCTCCTTCCAAAGACAGCATCACTAAGTGAACTCTGCTCTCCTTCACTGTGGCTGCTGTTAAAGTTCATCACAGAACATGTTTGTACATACATCTCCACACATGTTTCTGGTCAGCTACAGCCATACGCAATGCTTTTGGCATTTACAGAGCAATGGGCGTTGGCTGAAAAAAGAACCCAACATTTGGGTGGGGTAATCAGAACCCCAAGCCGAATGAGCTGCAACCTCCGGGGTTCTTTCTTTTAAACTCCCCAGGATGTAGCGCCAAAGACAGACGGTGTAAAAGCTCCACTGGATTATAGTATTAAAGGGATAACATGGAGTATTTCTGGGGGGAAAAGAAATATTGACTTTAGCTGTCCAGTTTCCTTTTAAGGACCACACACTTTGTCACTAGTCACATGACATGTCCCATAGGGGCTGTGATATTTTTATTTTTGCCCTTGACATAATGGATTGTAAATTAACTTGGGTTTGTTTTAGGTTTTTCAAACTAGAGAGTTTTTCTTACTTTAGTATTGATTCACTTCTGCTAAAAAAAAAAAAAAAGGATTTCCATTTCTGTTCTTTGTGAGATCAACATTTCCCCTTGTTGTTTTCTGGAGGTTTCCAGCAGCTGGAAACACTCTGGGTTTAATAAACAGATGTTTAATTAAAAATGAGGAAGAATAACATATTTTTTCTTAGAGTCTTTTATTTTTTAGAGTCTTAGTTCAAATTCTGTGTGAGATTTTCATGACTCATAACGCTCTTATTCTGTCTCAGTGTAACCTAGTTAGTCAGAAAGAATTTCCCCAGAAGAAAAAAAATATATACAAAAGGAATTTCTTTTGACATTTTTATGGGTCAGAGAATGTGTGTGATGGTGCTTTTTTTTGTATTAGCAGTTGTCTTTAGTATATCATTTTTTACAGCTGTCAAACAGATACAGTTTTATTCTGATTAATTAATCACATTCAAAATTTTTAATCAAGATTAATCCTAAATCAACATTCCTAAATTGACCAAAAACCTTTTTTCCACCAAAGTAAGTTTCTAGTATCGCAGTAAAGATTTCTTATGTCCAGTTGGCAACTGCTGGTCAACTTGTTCCATTGAAAAATTATTTGCCTAAGATTAAGGACAAAAAGGTTGTCAAGATCAGTCCACTGAATAATAGCACCCTCTGTAGGATGTGCAGGGAAAACGATATCTTCTTATATTTGTAGACAGAGTAAATTGTTTCACATTTTTACTGTAAGTATTTCTCAAAACTTGTACCTGCAAGTGCAGAAAAGATGAACAGTGGAGAATATTTGTATCCAAAGTCATTGAGGTTTGTGAACGAACCCAACACGCCCACACACACGCACACACACACACATCATATTAAAATGCCGAGAAACAAAAGCAAAATCCACAGCGCCCACAACATGTGGTTTGAGTTAAAATCGAGTGGAGAGAAACTGAGGCTTTGGCCAGATTGAAGTGAGGGATAGCCTGGAGGTCTGCCACGCTGAACCATCACATCCACTAACCATTACACATCATACCACACTGAGTTTAGCCTGCACTCCCTCGTCTCACAACAAGTTCAGCTAAAGGCAAAGCCCTCTGAGGCTGCACAGCCACAGTCGAAGTAACGTGCAGTGTCTCGGCCTCTTAGTCCTTCTGTCACTGAGCAGCAATGTTTTCTATTTGTCACAATAAATGAAAGTCTGCGTAAAATATGCATTTTTTTTCGGTGCATGTTTTGTTATTTTCAATTGGTCTCAAATGAGAAGGATATTTAAAGAGTGTAGGTCTGATTAAAACAGGGATGAGGCCACTTACAAACCTCTGCTCCCCTGCCTCACATCTGAACAAAAGACGGAATTATTCACGGGGAGAGGTCAGCAGAGGGAGATAACTCCGTCCAGATGCTTTACACTACAGCCTGGTGTGTCTGTATTGGCTTAATGTGCTGCAGGAAATTAAAGATATGTATAGTATGTGGTTCATGGGGAGATGTTTCGTTTATAAAGCCATGGGATTTGATACAGTCAATTCAGATTCACACTGAAAGAACGTCCACTATGTTCTCTAAGAGTGGATGTGCTGCCCTGGAGTTTACAGGTTTTTTTTCTTGGGCTACAACAGGAATATCAGGTTGAGGAGCTGGTGCAGAAAAAATAAAGTAAGTTTAAAAATGTCTGTATTAAACAAATGTTTCTACAAGAATGTAACGTAACCACAAAAAGACAAAAGGTCACAAGGAAAGACAGGACGGGAAGTGAATAAACCCAGAGTGTAACTTAGCAAAAATATTGTTGCTGAAACTACTGGACTGTGGTTCTTTTGTTTGGTGGGTTTATTTCAAATGTCAAATGAAAGAAGTGTAATTAAATCAAGGTACAAAGGATTAGGATCAATGTTTATACCATATGCCTTAAAATACCACAAAGTTTAAAATCAAGACATGGCCATCGAACCATGGTCAGTGTTTGCAATTTGTAGGAACAGGTTAGTTTGTGTTTATGTGTGATAGAGAGAGAACAAGAGAGAGAAAGAGAGATCGGGGGTAAGGGTTACCTGGGTGGAATGACTCCATCTGCCACCAGTGCCCTATCAATGCCAAGTCTTAATGATTAACGAGCTACGAAGAGTAATGCAAGACCTGAATCTTATTAATAATGCAGCCGGGAGCTTTTTCCCAGTCTGGACTACCTCTGAACTCCAGGACTCATACACACACCGAAACACACACACACACACACACACACAAGTCATTCTTATGGCTTACTTAAATTTGTGCCAATGGATTTATCAGTGAAGAGTGAGAAATGAGGGCAGAATCTTCCAGAGAAAATACAATCCCAAACCTAACAACTAAAATATTTTGTCCAGAGAAAATACAATTCCAAACCTAACAACTAAAATATTTTGTCCCCATTGTAACTTGATACTACAGTACAGTCACCTCACAGTCATGATACCCTATCCCTCCCTTTAAAGTCATCTGTTTAATTGACCTTGGGTGTGTGCACAGGGCTGTGCAGACTTAAGATTGCTATATTATCAGAGTGGTTTTAACGGTGCCCTTCATTAGAGTGGGAGTGTCAGGCAGGGAGGGAAGAATAGCAAGAATGGGAGAGAGTGGAGTTTCTATCCAAGTAAACAGCGCCCACAGTCACAGCCAAACCCTCGTTCTTCATGCCAAATTCTGCGGAAGCCAAGGGCCTCCTCTTTGAGGACAAAACTGACCACAAACTGTGCAAAGGCCATATAAACCGTGGAAACCTGTTCTGGTTGTCATTATCTAGAAAACAAACAAAAGCAAAAACAAAATATATGTTACCTCCCTCAGTGTTTCCCCCTTCAGCAAGGTCGGCATCTGTTCTATTTATGGCCATTACTGCATTATGACTTGTGCGTGTGAAATAAACACTGTGAAAGACACCATCAGAGCAATTTTAGAATGTACTCCTGCAGAAGTATGGTGATGACTTTTAATCTCCTATCAACAAACCGACCATCGGCAGGAAACATAGGCAGTGTTTGCTGCTCTGTGTTGTAGAGACTGTGTGGGAAAACGCTCTCCCGGTATTTTCTGACATGCCCTCGCCGGTGCATCTGTGTGTACATACATCATGTGGACACGTCAGCGCAACTATGTCCTTTTTAGACAAACTGCCGCTCCTTGACCTCCGTAGTCCAAAATGTCAGTCCTATAGATGCTGCTTTCCCAGTTTAGATCATGCACAGTTGTCTGCTCCCAGAGATCTGTTCCCCAACCAGTGGGACACAGACTCACACAGACCCACAAAGGCACACTCAAGTAAGCAAGCAGGCAGACCAGGAAGGAAAGGGTTCCAGGGTCACGAGAAAAAATCTTGGATGGAAAAAGGCATTCTTTCACATGACGTTGCTCTCAGATCTTAATCATGGCAGAGCAGTTATGGCTCTCTGTGTGCTTGGCGTCCAACTTGTGAAGTCTTACTTACATAAGCGGACTGGTCTGCAGCAGAGATCCCCCAGGAGGTAGACAGACTTTTTGGATTGGTATTCACGTAGCATTATTTTGTTAGTCTAATGAAGATTGGACTTTTGAAATATGTGCAAACATAAAAGTGCAATATATTGGTGGAGAAAGTTGTGGTTGTACCATTTACTCCAACTAGTTTTGTTGTCTTTGCCATAACTCGATGCCATGCTGAGGAACACACGCTTTCTTGTTGCTAACATTACTTGTTTGGATTTTATTATCGTTGGGTGTTCGTCCTAATTATCCATTTAAAATGTAATCCAAGAAATGTATGACTTCACATGAACCTGCATAACTCTACGGTTACTGTTACTTTTGCTCCAAAAAAGTCACAGTCTCTGGCACGGTGCTTGAATATTAGTTGGAAATATCTGGTAAACATTCGGCCTCAGAAACCTTTGTAAATGTCATGAAAACATGCCTGGTCTATCCATCCTCTCATGTTTGATCCAAGGACAGAGTGGTGACTCTGAGGGAATGGAAAAACTCTGAGAGGAGAATGGAGAAGGGTAGAGCCACCCTGTACCCACAATGCCTGAAATAGGATGATGAGCAAGACAGAGAGAGATTAAATAGGACTGGATCAACGAACTGCAGAAGACAGCGCTTTAGACCACTCTGTCACGTCCTCTGTGTGACATGCGTTGTTCTTTCTGTCTTATTGAGTTCCAGTTTTGTGTGGGTTTTTCCGCAACTGAGTCATTTTTGTCCTTCTGTAATTAATACCACACTGTGCTCATCTGAATAACACGGTCTGCTGTGACTGTGTCGCTGAGCTTAGCAATATTTGAGTGAAGATTGCGCAAACAGAGCGGAACACAAGCTACAGAACCATTTTACCTGTCCACAGTCTTCATGGACAACCATCCAGTTTGGGCCAAACAGAAGAAATAATTGCCAAGGTTTCATCACCCTGTGGCCCACAGAACAAAACACTCGTGTCTAGACTAACTTCTCCCTGTGGCTCTCAATACTTCACAAGACACTACAGTAACAATAACCAATAATCCTCTGGCATCAGCGTGCCATTCTGCATTCAATAGAAACTCCTGTGATTTAAAACGGTGATGTATCTGTCACGAAAGGAGAGATTTCTTTCCATTCCTTACAGTAACACAGAACTACTGCTAAACACCAATTATTCATACGCTCAAGTCACTGCCTACCACGAACGTCTTATTTAACAACTCATTAAAGTTTAATTGTCTATGGTCAAAGACAGGGCAATCATTTTAGTTCCAGTGTTATGATCCCTCTCCAAGTAAACACTCAGTCTGTTCATCTGTCATAAACTATATATTAAAATATAAGTCCCTGAAAAATGACATATACTCCAATAGTTTAGAAAGTTACTCTATGTAAATGGACTCGGCTGCTGATTCGATTTGTGGGGAACTATAATAATTTTCCTAAATAATGTGTGGTAGTGATTATCAACTGGTGGCCCGCGGGCCAGTTTCGGCCCGGCCAATGTGGCCTGTGACAGGATTTCAAATTAAACTTCAAATAATACTGTTGTGTGCATTTTACTAGTCACAAAAAAGTGTGTATTGTTGTCTACAAGAACTTGGACTCACACACAAACACACACTTACACATTGTCTGGCAATCCTCAATCATCTAAACTGTTTTTTGAGTCACATTCACAAAAACTAATCAGTGCAGAGCTGCAGAGATTAGATGTTTTTTGTTATTCTTGCACAACTTGTGCTTCATTTTTCAACAAAACAACTCTGGACATATGGTACTGGATTCAATTTTCTTTTTTTCTTTTTTTTTCTGCAACAAAAACTCACCAGCTTTGACCGACTCACTGTCTGAGACAGCGATTGGCGCTCCAGGCGGAGACGGTGAGGTAGGGGGCACACTATAAGGCTTGTCCCCCTCCTGTGGACGACCTTTGGAGGTTTCGATGCCTTTGACTCTCCTGGCGTGACGGTTTCCTTTATAATGTGCTTCTGCCTGGCTCTGAGATAAAACAGTAGAGGACAAAAGTAAAGGGTTATACAGATGCCAAGAGGTGAAGCAGAAATTCCGACGTACACACGTACACACTTACACTTGAACATGTGTATGTCATTATAGCAGCATGTTTTTGGATACAAACTTGGGGCCTAGAGTTACAGACAGTAGGCATGTTTGCAGGATACACAGATAGATTACATCTTAGAAACAAAACCGTGTCGTGAGGACACCTGAGACCCACTTGGACTGAACCTGCTCCAACTGAGACTCAGTCAACTTATTGCTAGGTTTCCAATTTAGTGGCAAGAAACACACTACACATCTTTCATCCACTGAAAAATTACACTCAGCCATGTTCTCTGTGTATAATGCAGTATCTAATGTATATGCAGTAGTATAGGTCTGAGTCCAGAGGCTCTTACATGACAAAGATCCTCCTGCATTCCAGCTGAGAAGAACAGAGCAGACATTTATCACAAGTCCTAGCCACTGTTAGCTTCACAGAACTACAAGCTGATGTGTTTGCTCAGTGGGTAAACAGAGGTGAGTCATCTGACAAGAGACTCCCCTGACAGTCTCTCTCTAATCTGTATACGTTGGTGTGTCTGCACTGAGGTATTTGAGTTGGGGACGCCATGGCCAAAAACTCTCTACGCTGAGCTGTCACCAGAGTTCTTGTGTGGTGACTTTGAAAGAACAACAGAGCCGTACAGAGACACATGTACAAGTATGCAGCAGGGATATATATTATCTTATATTTGCCATCTGTTGGACCGTTCTTCATCGGCTCTTCTTCAGTTAGATGGAATCTTGCAGTCTCCACTGGCACAGCGCGAGTGGTTGTGCCGTTCCCCTTTGTATCGCAGGTCTCAGCGACAAATATGATTATCAAGCACTTGGATTGCTTTAGTGGCCAGCGTCAGTGAGAATGGTAGTGTTGAAGCGCGGCTGACAGCTGCTGTATCTGCTGAAAGGTTTCGGAGAATCTAACAGACACCTGGGACTCATTCTGACCGCGGGATCAGAGGTGACGATAGACTGGCTTGTAAAGGAGGCAGAGGGTGATGAGTTACGTATGCGGGGCCACTTGTATACAGTAGACACTATTTGCTCAACAAGGACATCAGCTGCCACGATCAAGCTCTCGGTCTGTTTGTTCACTGCAGGAGTTGCCACAGTGGCTCCTCTACTGTCCTCGTTACTCTTAGTTTAACAGAGTAAAATGTTAAAACTAGCCTAGCTAGCACTCTCAGTCACATAAAAAATCATGCATTACACTCTCTCCCAAGTCTTGCTTCTTCCTGCTTTTTTTTTTAATAGAGCCACTGTCTCCAGACGATACATCGCAGGATGTCTCCATCCTGTCTAATAAACCTTTGCTCTAACTCTTCCTGCTCCACTATTGTCATACATCACCTCTACCATTGTCACCACCCACTGCACTCTGCCTGCACCTGATTTGTGCACTGTTGTTTGATTTAAAACTCATTTATCTTTACCACATTTCCTCTCACTGGTGTGAACAGAGTAGCATAAAAAAAGTACTCTTTCATTTTTATTTATCTCAATGGTTTTATAAAGATGCTTTATGCCTTAGAGGTAAAGGCAAAGAGAGGTGTTTGAAGAATGAGACAACACTATGGACACGCTGTGATCATGTACATCTGGTATTATCAATTGGTGCCACCCAAAAAACCCTGACCCCTGATGTACAAGCACGATGCAGGACACATTCAGAAAAATAATAACCAAGGTCTGAAGACATGGAGGCAGAGAAAACGGTCTCGTCTGCTGAATGGCAGAGGGAACACATAAGCTTTCTTAACCTCTTCCATCATGCCAATGCGGATCAACTGACAAGCTGCTGAATGTCAGCTTTGAAGTCCTGGATGAAGGAGAGGAAAAAGGATGAAGGGAAGATGAAGGGTCCGTCGTTCAGACCACAGAACTACAAGTACAGGAAGGTGATATTATGTGCTGGTCTGAGATTAGTAATGATGTACAGGAGTAAGAAGAAAAGCTGCAACACATCAGCGCGTGATGCTCATATTTCATTATCCAGGTGGTTCAAACTAAAGAAGAGTTTTCCAGCATGACTTTGATTTTTCGGGGGTGAGCTTGTGATGTTACAGCTGCGGCTGTAGCTGTGATGAGCACCAGAAGGAGAGAAGGAAAAACATGTGAGAAAATTAATAATGAGGCATAATAATAGAAAGGAAATGGATTGAGCCAAGAGAATAAGCAAGAATGAGGAAACGGCCTGAGTAGAACTGATAGAGAAGGCGGAGAAGGATTCGGGGCGGAAGAATAAAATCGGTGATGCCTATCAGCCAACCTCTTGCCGCAGCAGCTGTGACGTTGGTCAGTGCGGTGCAACAGAAGCTGTGATGTCATTAATGCAGCACACCTTCAAGGTTATTCTGCATAAAACCAGGGTTTAACAGCTCACACCACCATGCAACACAAGGACAGTGGGACTCAAACTCTCCCCCATCCTGTCCTGTCCTCTCCCCTCTTCTGTCCTTTCCCTTCAAGCCTTCCTTCACCCACTCTCCCACAACGCACTGGGGCAGACAGAAGGAGACTCTAATACATGACCCTGATAAATGCATCTTATAATAAGTACTGGCAGGCAATTTCGGACATTTCCAAACTGTAAATAATGCAGCATGATGGAGGGTGAGCGATGGAGAGGACAGAGATAGTTGCTGGGAGAGAAGCGGCTACAGAAAGGGAGAGGCAGGGAGGAGGGAGATCAAACAGGATGCATGAATGATGGTAAAATTGTGTGTGAAATGAGGGCAGCACGGCGCAGGAACAGGGCAAATACAGTGATTATGATTTTTCATGGCCACCACACAACTGTATGTGACCTTTGCTACACAATTGAGTCAGATTTGATTGAGAAGGCAGATTCTAAATTTAGAAATACAGCCCTCACTCTGGAGTTCTGAAATAGTCACACTGTTAAAAAAGGGAAACTAGAATAAAAAGGAAACTGCGTGGGCGGAATGTAATCTTATGGCAATATGGACTCCAGTTTTCCTCCTGCAGCGCATCCTTGGATATTTTAGACGAAGCCTGCTGCAACACTGATACCACTGACACACTATACTGCAGTGGAATCAGTTTTCTTTTTTTTAGCTCACTGGCAGTGACAATGACAGCAGGGGGGCGGTGTTGTCCTGCAGTCCCTTATACACAATATGCATTCTTCCTCACCTCGTCGTATAAACAGTGCCTTATCAGAAATAATGTAGGTTTTTATTTGTATTGAGCAGAGCCATTTGGTACAGTATAGGCTCAGGTCAGGGTGTCCTTGAAAGATTTGGGACAGTAATGAAAGGAGTCATTTTAAGTGTAACATATAAATAAAAAGGTGTAGAATGATATGAATGGTGTCATGGTATCTTTCTTGATCAAGAAAAGAGGAGAATTTTAAAGCTCGGAGCTGCTCGGTCTGTCATAATTCAAACAACAACATTGTACTGCTAACTCAAAATGATTATATTAAACCCTGATTTACTGCATATACATCAGGGATACATATTGGGTAAAGTTCAGCAGCAGCATTTCACTACGTATGTCTCAGTGTAAACATCTTGGTCTAACTGTTTCCTGTACAAAGGAAGAAATACAGCAGACAACTAAGTAAACTGCAGAGTGCAGATCACAGCCCTGCAGCTCCCTGACCACATGGAAACCATGATTGTAGACCTGACAAGTATTTATAGTAGCAGTGCACTCCTTAATGTTGTGTATGGTGGATGGAAGTACGCCCTAGACCTGGAGTTTGTAGCCGTCACCCAAATTATACACTGCACATTTGGAACTGACGTTGTCATGTGTCTGTATTTTTTTGTCCTCAGCAAAAAAAAAAACTAAAAACTAAACAGGATTGACCAAAACGGCAACAAATGATATAAAATCTTGGTGTTTGACCAAAATGGCAACAAATGATATAAAATCTTGGTGTTCACTAATTTGTCATCAGTCGTGTATGTGAGCTCTCCTGAGGGGAAATCATGCCGTTAAACTCCCATTATGACTCCTAATAAACTGCACCATATGGAAAAACAGATGAGGTCTCTGCTTGTTTGAAATTATGCAAAAGCGTTAGAAAAAGCAACATGGTGCAGTCAGCACTGCAGGTAATGTAACCGCATGACTACATGAGTTTAAATTCCATGTCCTCTAGATCCTAATCTGGCTTGAGGAAGAGAGGGAGAGAGAGAGAGAGTCCTCTAAATTACAGATAAATAAAAATCCCATCTATCCGTCCTCGCCTCTGTGGCACTTTCTTCAGGCTTTGTGCTGCAGCGATTATTGCTTTTTCTCCACACTGTCTGAAATCAAATAGATTTCACTCGGGTCACAACTGTCAAAACACAGCCTTAACAAATAGTCCACATCGTCTGTGTCCGTACCTGTTCACCAGAGAACAAATAACAAAGCAAATTCAAAAGAAAACAACTTTCAGGAAGAGCAGCATCCACCATGTTTAGGTCCACGTGGGACATTGAGACATTGTGAGGTAATAACGGCCAACATGCCTGGTAATAAATGGTTAATGCTGTGCCTGTACCTCAGAGTTGAAGCGGATCTGGCAGACGTTACAGGAGATGACAGGTCGCTTGGTTTTGACCAGAGGAACTCCAAAAGTGTGGTTGATCACGGCCTTCTGCACCGGGTCCATCTGAGTGGACATGACAAGGATGGGGACAAGGACAAAAAAAAACCAGAGCGTTAGAGGGACTTTCTGAGCCGTCAGTTAGTGATTAATCACTATGCTGGCCAGACATTATTGTTTTGTGTGTTCCTGCAGGGTCAGGGACAGCTAGGTCTGAAGTTGGCAGAAAAACGCTGGTGTTTTCTTCACCATTCTTCAATAATGAAACTGTGATATTAGAGGCTATAATTACATTTGATACACTGCATTTTGACATGTGCAATAAGCGCAAAACATGTGCTTTTGTTTAAGTTGAAATGTAATTACATTTTATAACACTGACAACCAGCTGCAGCAGGCTGTACCATAGGTCTATTTCTCACATGGTAGACAGCTGCGATACAAACACAAAAGGATTAAAAACAATGACATCATAGAGATGTTAATTAAAGAACTTACAACAGGAACAAATTAGATACAGAAAAGAAAGATTTGCATAGTTAGAGATGTAAAAACATAATAACAGATTTACATATCACAGCTGCAATTAGAGGGATCAGATCATATCATCATATTTCTAAAATGTTCAAAAAGGATGCTTTAAAACTCAAAGGCAAGTGTCATTAGGGCTTAGTCTGGTGGAACCATAACAAAGAAATGACAGTAAAAAGACAGTGGGAGACTGACGTCATTACTGTTGAGGAACAAACCAGCCTAAAGTCAAATCCACTAGGTATAGCCAAAAATTTAGAACGTTAGCCATAAAAAACTCCAAAATTTCACCAACTCTTGCAAAAATAGGTTGTAGATCTGTACTTCATGTACTGAAAAAAGATCTGACGACAAACAGCAGATACTACAGATACTACAAAAGGACAAAATTGTTGACCACGAAAAATAAAGTGCTGTGAGTGATCCACTGGAGAGCATTTGGACATACCTGGATTACACCGACATCCAGATGGAGTGGACAGATTGAAAGGTTTTAGTCTCCATCCAGTATTTATTGTAGGACTGTGTTTAGCAGACAGTCAGCAGCGTTGACAGACTGTTGCTACAACTGCGCCACCTGCTGCAGTCTAACCCCAACCCAAGCCCAGACTCGTGATCCTGACAAAGGTTTAGCCTCACACTATCCCGGACTTTGTGCTAATTGTTTCAGCTACAGCACGTCCATCATCTGACGCGTTAAGCCCCATGTGTAAATTTAACTGACTTTCTTTAGCGCGAGTCTGTGGCTAAGCCTCCGACTTACATCCTGTCCACAGACCAAAGGCCCGGTCTGTAATATTCTAAAAGGGCTTCGTTACAGTTATTTATCTGTGTTTGAAGCAGAGTTGAACCAGTGATCGTCATCAAAGGACCTTAGCATTAGTGTGGAGTCGATGGCTGAGTTGGATTTTCACCACAGACAACTGTCTGGCACTGTGTCTGTAGGCAGAGCAGGCGGTGTAATATGGTGACGGTGCATAAAGAATGACAATGTTTTTTCAGCCTAAGAATGAATGTGCACACGGGTGTGTTTATGTTTTGTGTTGATAAGGCAGACTGGAATGTAACGCTGTTGGTTTGTGTAACAAATGTGAAGTGACTCAGTTTGGCTCGTTGGTGTGTTTAACCTGGCCCTGTACCAGGTTTAAGCTATACTACACTCAGCTTAAGACTTGGCCTGAGGAGTGATGAAGTGTTAAAGAAAATCTGAAATGGTTTTGTCTTAACTCGAGCACAACCCCTGTTACTCAGCAACTCTGGAGGAACAGAGTAAACAGTAAAAGAACGAAAATGGGAGGAGGCCCAGGACATTAAGCTGGGTGACAGGACACACAGAGACAGAGACAGACCATCTGGAGCAGCGAGAAGAGAGGGAGAGGGAGATGAAGCGGGACGTAGTAAGAAAAAAGTGGGATGGGGGGGGGGGAAACAGAAACAGTGAGGCCCAGGTCGGACGATCTCACGTCACACATTCTTATCTCATTTGGCTCTTTTTACTTTTACTCCTCATTCCAAATGTTTGCCATCTACATCTCTGGAACCTTCAAGAATGAATACTTTGCAACTTTTGGATGTAGTCAGTCATGCCCCAAATCCTATCCCCCTAGTGGTTGCACTGTTATTTATCTAAGGTCTGATCTTGCTTTTCAACAGGTACACCATCCAACCAAATATTAATTACTTCAAACATGTTCATTAGAAGTCATTAAAATATTTCCTCCAGACATACAGAAGTGTATCATGGTGTTCCCCAGGGTTCAGTATTTGGCCCTATATGATTTTCTTTAAATATTCCTTGCTTTAAAAGAATAACAAACACGTAACGTTATGCGGACGACACGCTTCACATTTAAGGAACATTTGAAATGTTATTATACTTGTGATTCAGTCTTCTTAAAACAACAGTAGCTCTTTGCTATCAGACTAAGTTAATACAAATTAGAACAGCAGCGCCCCCTGTCTCTTCCATTTTTATTTCTCTTTCTTGCTCCGTATGTAACTCCATAGACTGCGGTACATTCTTTAATAACCTTTCCCTCTTGTCACTCTTGTACTTTTACTTGGTATATGTGGGCGATAACTGCAGCAGTAAATCGTTGCTCGAGTCCAGCAGAACGGCCCATAAACACATGAAATGAAATACAATATGAACCCAGTACAGATCACATCATGTTCATGTGACCCATCATCACTCATCTGAGAGCCGTCCTGATGGAATGACTTAACATGTGGATCAGGGGCATTTCCACAGACGATCCCACAGTGTGGGTGTGGGTCAGCTATGATCCATCCAGTTGTTTCAGCTGCGAATGCCTCCCCGCAGCTGCCAACAAGCCTATTTGGATGGCTGCTCTCATGGACCCCAACCAGAGATTATCTCCAAAACATGTCCTCATAAAATAGGAGTGGAGCACAGTGACGTAATTGAAGGGGAAGTTTCCAAAATGATGTTGTCCGGCTGAGAGTGTTTCTTCAGAAAAAAGAGCATACCAAACTGGAAACTATGCATTTTCTCGTGTTAATTATTTCCATTAGGGTCTTAAAAAAGCAATCAGTGCACAACATGTGGATAAAATGTATTTGTTTTGATTGAGTAAGACTCCGGGCTGAGGAAGTTTTGGAAACGTCCGTGTTAGCTGGAGCGTGTTGAATGGATGTCTAAATGTGGTGAGAGAGCAAGCAGATGTGAATAAACCGCACACATCAGTGACTTTAGCATCAACCGGCATTCATATAAACAAAACCACAGAGTCTCTGTTGTGGAGAATGAACTTAAATAGAAGCCAGGGCCGTCCTGGCTCTGCCTGTTGATTTGTCTAAAGGCTCCACTCTGGTGTCAAACCTCCTTTTTTAGCATTCATTTGTCTTCTCTCTCTCTCTCTCTCTCTCTCTCTTTTCCTCTCCACCTCTCTGCCTTTGATTATTTTACTTTAACAATGTTTAGAATCGCTGAATTCCATCGATGGGGAACTCACGCCTGCACGAGTCTCGGTGTGACCACGCTGTGGCAGCCAGCTACAGGAAAGTCTGCGCGCTGCCAGATCAAAACGGCCTTTGAAGATGAACACCGAGTCTGAGCCGTGCACGGATCAAACCGGTGTTTAGGTACTCACCGTCTTCTCCTCTGATTCTGCAGACGTTTGGAGCTGCATTGGTCCAGTGTTTGTGCTACTGGCCAGGCTGTGTTTGTTGGTCTCAGCATGTGTGAGACTGGAAGCATGTGTTGCACCTTCCTCACTCATTCAGCCTCCTGGTCAGTTGTCATCAACTTACAAACAAAAATAAACCCTACAACCAGCTTCTCCTTGCTGCTGCACATTAGTCTCCACCCGTCTCTCTCTGAACAAAGTCTTTGAGGCTCCGTGAAGAGAATGTCTTTGATAGGAAAGTCTTCAGTCTCTCTCTTTCACACTGACACATCAGCTAACAAGTGCCTGTCTTTGTCCAGCCTCTTCTTCAACTCAACTCAGTTGCTCTGTTTTCTCTCTGCCTCATGCTTCCCTGTAGTACATTTCCCCCACTGTGCTTTCCACATTTTTTCTCCCTCCCCTCTCTCTCTCTCTCTCTCTCTCCCTCTCCCTCTCTCTCTCCGTGCTCTCTGTGTCCAGATGCACTCAGGATTGTGTGTCCCGCACACTTTGCTGCTCAACTTTTAACTTCCTTTAAAGTTCACAGCATTTATTAAATGTCAGAGTCGGTCAGGTGCCGTAACTCTGCCCCGCTACACCTGTCGTCCATGCATGAACAATAACAACTTCCTCTGGTTCCTACTGTGGTTTTAAGACAGTGGGAGACTGTGTCACATGTGGTTGGACCAGGACTGTCAAATAAATGTTAGTAGGTTTACTGAAGCAGACAGAATAATCCAAATAATTAACTTATTTATACGGGAAAAAATCTCAAGAAATTTTTTTTAAAATATTTGTTGGATTTTAGTCGTTACTGTTAAAGTTCACAGTTAGCAATTTAAGCTTTTCATTAAAACCTAGCATTGAATCGTAGAGACAAATTATATTGCAGTAATATTCAAACTTTGCCACCAGTAAAACATATTTAATTGATAAAACTAGTATTGCTGTCTGTCAAATCTATATCCACAGCCACATGATGGTCTTGTCCTATTATCATTTTTCAGTATATATTTTTAACGTTTTATTCCCCGGCACTCTCTGTGTTAAAGAAGACAGGTTTGGACACAGCCGGACCAACAGCAGCTGCAGCTTTAATAAACCATGTGAACGGCTCAACTTATTTTGACAGTTTCATTAGGAATTCCTGACTTTGCTGAACTTGAACAAGTCCACGTCAGAGAATGGAGCTGAGGCGCACGTCATTTAGATATGCATCTATATCAGGACCAGCTTCTGCAGATAAATAATTCAGCCTTGTCACTGTCCAGAGGCACATTTGGACAGACAGTCAGGTAGATGGAGAATGACATAAAAGGCCTATTAAAGCAGTATATGGCGTTAGGAGAGGCAGCTCCTCTGCTGCGAGGATAATAACCCTCAACGTGAAGTAAGGCCTCATTAAAGCTGTACAAATTCAGCACAGATCACTTATTAAGGGAGAATGATAAAATAACTAGCTGCCAGCTCCGGGCACAGACATTTCTCATTGTTATAGCTGAAAATGTGCTGCGCTTTCATTGTAATACTGTGGATATCCATAATTATGGTAGTGGGCCAGTGCAGGTGGACACTGGGATGCATCCCCGATCCTTCTTTAATAGAGTTCTCTCTTTGTTTACACAGCTCTGTGTTGGAAAAAAACAAACAAAGCATGATCCAATTTGTACAAACATTCTTTCTCCCTAAAAACCAAACAAGCCGTAAATTACTATCACTGACGTAAACACAACCGCAAACATTCACTCTTTTTTCCTGTGTGAATGTACTTAACTGCGAGCACTAAATTGAAAAGAAAACCAATCTCCAAAAGCAGACGACCGTGACTGCCTCTGCGTTAAAAAAAAACATCCCGGAGTTTAATGGTTGTAATTCTTTAAAAAAACCCAGAAATATATTTTGGCATTTTGCAGCTTTTCGTTGACACGCCACGTGTGAAAGGGCTCCACTTACAGACGGTTTCATGTTAAACAACAGCCGAGCAGCACTGAAGCACTCGGTCACCACTGCAGCAAAAGCTGTTAAGCTGCGTGCAGTCGTATGTGCCACTCTGCGGTGCAGCTGTAAGGTCGTTATGTCCTTCCAAACCTCTCCTATGGCCCCATCTCCTGGCCGGGGGGTTGCAAAACACCAGTCACCCAGAGCTGATCAGTGATTAGCAGCTCTGTCGATTAACATTCACAGCCCGTTGTAGACCATCAGAGGCGGCTAGCGTTCAGGGGGTGAAGTCACGTTAAGGACTCTTACAGGATGAAGGAGACAGACAGAAAAACTCAGTGAGTGTTGCAGAGGCAGGAAGTCAAATGAAGAAGGAACAATACAAACAGACGTGTGAGAGGAAACCGAGCGTCGGCTTAATCCCATTAATCCACGTCTGATGGCCACGCTGCGGTTTTAACCACAGGCGCTTATGTCACGGCCCATGGAGGCCAATTAAAATGACTGCATCTTCACAATGTGTTTAATAACGTCTGGACGCCTGTTACTGTCCTCGGAGCACCACGCCTGATCAGACCACATGCACAGGCCAGATATTCCCAATTAGCAACAAGAGGATTCCTATGGCCAAACATACCAGTCTGACACACACACACACACACTGAACTCTGGTGCAGCAGACAGTGTCCTTTAATAGCACTGCATACAAAGTACATTGAGAGTTCACTTATTTTACATAATTCAGATGAGAGGCGTGCAGATATTCCCACATGCAGTCTGGAGGAGCGGAGCACATTATGCTGACTTGGTGAAATGCCAAATGTCTACTCTGTAATCGAAATTATAAGAGATTATTCAAAGCCCGGGGAAGCAGGAAAATCCTGCTCTATTAAAACAAATACCACATCAAACAAAGTGTAATGTTTGAAGTACAATACTCCGAGAAAGGCCTTAGGACTGTGCTTTTTTTTCTTTTTCTTTTTCTTTTTTTTTTTTTTGATTTATTAGCGATTGACTGTGAGAATGTGTGCACAAGATAAATTACAGCCTTAGCCAAGTACCACGTACGTGCCATATAGGATACATTTTTAAAGTGAGTGCAGCAGCTCTTTAACAGGGAGGAGGCTTTGGGTTCAGTGAAACATTAATAATGTAAAGCTCAGGGTTTGAGCTGTCACCTAGGAAGGTAGCTCTGCAAAAAAACTTTTTACCTGAGGGAAATGTTGTTGTTGTTGAGTCTAATAAAGTTAAAGGATGTGAAAGTGATGAGAACTGGAATAAGATGATTTACAAAGATGTCCAAAATCAGGTATTTTAAAGGCTCCTGGATCATTTCAAACTGTATCTTACCTGACATATCCACTTGACTAACATTTAGCAAACTTTGCTCTCAGTTGTGATGTTTCCTTTGGCATAGTTTTGGGTTAATTGATGTTATTTTTGTTCTTATTTTTTAAGGTATTTAAAATCTTATATAATTTATAGTCACTGTTTACTAAACATGTATTTGTCTCATAGCTAATTTAATGCTATTTTGGCTAACATTTTCAGTTTTAGCAACTTTGGATACATTTACCTTTCCTTTCCTTTAGTAATTCTTGTTTTTTCTTTTTTTTTAAATATTTTTGCAGTGCATTTCTAGTCCAACTTGTTTTCTATTTTTGATTAATTTTACAGTATTTTGCTGGACACATTTCTAATCAACAAATGCTGCTGTTTTATATTTTTATTAGCACTATTTTTAAAGTAAAAATGTGTAGGAAGTTTCTACAAATGTAGTCATGCCTCTTTTTTTCTATTTTTTTCTCTTTCTTTTAGATTAGATAACTTTTTTAAGCTATTTTATGTATAATGTGTGTCCACTATTGTATAACGCTACACTGTACGTAGCTGGTGACAACATCTTCATGTTGACCAACACAGCTAAGAGTAAAGTTGTGTGTGTGTGTGTGTGTTAACAAAGAAAGAATCTCTCAGATGAAAACAGACTGCGGTCTGTCTGTCAGGCTCTGTTTGTTTGTGTCTGCATCAACTCTCACCGTGCTGAAGTTATGGAAGAGGTTCATGCTGTGTGGAGGAGGTGGGGTCTCCATAGGAAACTGCAGGAAGGGCTTCATGTCTAGGTGAGGCTGGATCATCGTGGGGGTCCGCAGGAACGTGGGCACCGCTGCCCCAGCTCTGTTTATGCCTCCTACGCAGACACACGGGAAGACAGAGAGAGATGCGTTTAAAAGCTATTCTTAGGTCTGGAGCGCTGGTTAAATCAATGCAGCACAACTGCTCTGCAACGCTAATAATTCCACTGTGTGTTTCCCCAGTAGTGAAAAAAAGCAGGATATGGGTTGGTGAAGGAAGAGCATTGAGATGTATTTATATAAAGGTCGTTCCTCACGGCATTTACTGTGATCTGAACACACTCAGACCTTTACATGTTTCCTCTGTGGTTAAGATGATCACCACTGCAGGTGCAGTACTGCTAGTGTGTACAGTAGGTGGCAGCATTACAGCTCATGGTCTGTCATCTGCTGTTAAAGTCATAGAAGAAGGAGTGGAGAAAAAAAAAACTTTTTGAAGAGACCTGTGCTTAAGAACAGAGTAATTGTAATTGTGCTTTCCCCTACAGGAGGAAAGGTAGAATTACACCCTCTATGTTTACAAATGGTATTAACTCAAAACTCCTGAAAGCTCTACCTTCACTGGAAATTATGAAACAGAAATACCACAATGATCTGTTTCCCTCTCTTCTCTCCATCCCTCCCATCCTTTTCTCTCCCTGTCTCCCCCCTCTCCTCCCCTCTACTGTCCTCTGAGCTCCTCTTCAGTCCTCTCCTCTGGGAGACATCTGCAGCTTGATGATAATACATTTGGTCTCAGCATGTGTTTCTTTATGTCATCCAAACCCGTGCAGCAGACTTGGATTACTTGGTTGTGTCTAATTATAGAACCAATCACAGACTCTGATTCCTCTGCTTCACTTCTTATTCAGACTGACTGACTTCTACTGAATCCATCGGCTGTTTGAACTGCAGTGCCGGGCTACACACACACACACACACACACACACTCAGTGTTGTCATGAAGAGACACAGCCCCCTCTCCTTGTCTCCTCGTCTCCTCGTCTCCTCGTCTCCTCGTCTCCTCGTCGTCTCCTTACACCCCTACTCCAGTCTAACCTCTGTCAAGGATGATAGTGATGGGACCCACGCAGCAAACCTCAGCCTCAGCCAGCTCTTAGATTAAGCCTCTTAATATCCGCAGCTGGATTTCTGTGGCTTTTAAATTCCCCTGAGACTTAAAGGCTCTGCTGCTCTTCTTTTGGGGGACTGCGTTAAGCTGCTCTCGCACTTCATTTCACCGTCCTTCGCTCTGCCGTCCGTGGCGATTTGTTTTACCCATAATTCTGCTTCACAGTTTGGCTATTTTTCCACACCTTGACACTTTCTGCTGACGGAATGTGATGCGGAGAATAATGTGGCAGTACGATGGAGAAACACTGTGGAGGAGTGGGAGATGCAGTCTCTAAAGTGTGGAAATGAGAGAGTGGGAGAGAGAGAGGCTGAAGTTGTCAGAGAGAGTGAAAGTGCTGGCTCAGCAGAAACACAGCTAACTTTGGTGGTGGTGTCTGGAGATGCAGAAGACTGCGTCATTACACCTTCTTTTTTCCCACTTAACACAACAGTACACCAGTGCAATAACACGTAAAAATCCAACCTCATTTGAACTACACCTTGATTAAGTGTTAAGTGCTCAAAGTCTGGCCCGGGGGCCAATCAGGGTCAGTTAGCTTAAATTCACTAATTTCTTTATGGCTTGCCATGATGTGAGAACGGTCAGAAAAGTACGACACTTATCAGACTGAAAATGCAAGAGAAAGTGTCTGCAAATGAATAATATCTGTGCCAAACTGCTGAGCGTAAATTAAATCCCATTTCCAGTCAGTATTTATTTAAATACCATACATTTGTCTGTCAACTACTGTAATGACAGTCTTCAGCTCTACAGGCGGAGCTGTTGGCCGGGGGATGTTCCAGACACACCTCACCTGCTGGTCTGATCAGAGTCAATGGGAGGTTCTACCTCCATGACTGATAAAGGCAGCTGGGGGGGGGGGCACTGAAGACATGACTAATGCTCTTCCTCCTGAATGCATTTCTTCAGGACTGCGTGCACACGTGTTCATACAGAGCCTCACGTGTCGCGGCTCTTTGTCCGAGCCTGCGAGCGCCTGCACGTCGGCTCTTCTTCTTTGAAGCAGTGACACAGCTGCAGTTAGATGGAGTCGTACCGGCAGCTCCCCAGTGAGTGTGCACTGGAACATGGAGGCCGTGGCTGGCAGTGGACCAAGCTGCCTGTGGCACGTAGAGACAAACAGAGAGTGACCAGAGAACAGCAGCCTCTGCAGCAGCAGCAGGAGCTGAAGGAGGAGAGGAGGAGCAGTCGTCCTTGAAGAATTCGGTGTGTGTGTGTGTGTGTGTGTGTGTCAGTGTGGTTTGTTTCTTCTCCAACTGTATAATCACTACATTAATTTAAAGCTCTCTTCAGGGACCTTCTAACAGTACAAATCAAACACAGCTCGGCTCAGTATGGTGGAACCGCGTGTGTGGAGGAGGTGTGACCTGCACACTTTTTTCTCCCTGTGTGTGTGCGTGTGTGTATACATTTGTGTGTGTTCCCACCAGGCTGTTCTCAGCTCTGCTGGACCCAGGGTTAATAAAACGTACACCTGTTAACACCAGTGCTGTGTGTCATATCTGATCATCAGTCTGGACGGCTGTCGGCTCAACAAAACTGTGATAATATTCAGGTTCAGGAAAGTGAAATGGACTTTTTTGGCATCTTTTGTGACATTTCATGGACTACTGGATTACACAGTTGAAAACGATTAGGCACATAACAGGAATAATACTGACGAATGCAGTCGTGTCATGTCATATTTTCTGCATCTGTCTGTTTTTTTTTTGGATCCAGATCTGTGTGCTGTCTAACAGACAGGCCAGTCTGGAAGAGTCCAGGACTCGGACAGAGAGTTGGAGACTGTTCCTCCGTCTGACGAGCCAGGGCGTCAGGCCTCAGGCCCAAATTTAAATATGTGAGCGTGAGCTACCTCCACCAACCAGACAGAGACCGTAAACTGGACACAACCTGTGTCATCGTGACGGTCGGACATTAATAGCACTAACAAAAAAGACGTGCATTTTAGGCAAACTGCAGATGAGACGTAGTGCAGTAGAGTCAGACTGATGGAAGGAGGAAGGAAGGAAGGAGCGAGAGAGAGGGAGAGAGAGGGGGAGAGAGGAAGAGAGGAGGAGAGAGAGAGAGGGGGGGGGAGCTGGCAGCAGCAGAGAGATCAAAGAGGAGTGACGAGCTCCCAAAGTTGAAATAATTTGCCAGTCTGCACAAACCTGATAAATGTGTTAGTGGTGTTATCACTGCCTCCAAACCACAAAACATTAACAGATACATACTGTACATGTGTGTGTGTGTGTATCTATATGTGTGTGTTTTCATTGTTCTTTGATCACTTGAACAAGCAGTAAGACATTTTTTAATTTTTTTATACATTAACCAGTGTGTCACAGCAAATCAACAAGGATATTGAATTAGATTGTAAAATATTTTGGCTAATATTAAAAAATATTAAATGTTTTACAGTTT